AACATTAAATTCAAAATGAGCTTGAAATTTCTAGGAACGCTCTGGATACTACTTGAAACACGCACTAATCCTAAATTCAAATTTTATGCCTTACCCATTTTACGTTTCAAGTTACAAATTCGATCTTTCGTGCGGAATTAATAAAATTAATAGCAAGAAGTCACTAATTAATTGTTGTCTAGGTGGTTAAACATACAAGTCCGATTAATCCTATGTTGAACTGCTGGTTTGCAATATGCAAAATAAACAAATCAACAAACTCACAGTTTGTTGATGGAGAAACCCGATGTGGAAAAACTTTGGGACCAAGCCAGTGATGTCTACTATACCAATTCAGCAAGTACAAGTTATACCAAACTCCATACCCAATTAGACCCGCTATTCCAGACTCACGATCTATTATCGTAAATGTATCTAGCCTCCTGCTAGACTTCCTAATCTACCTCCTGTAGTTCAATTTGCTATCCACTACAACATGTTGGTCCTTAACTGATTGCATCACAAAGTGAAATTCCAAGAATCGCCTGTTCTTGTCTGATTCACTGCGCTTGACATCCACATTTCTCAATCCCCAATAAGAGTCTCTTCCTCAACAAATGAAGGAAGACACGGTGTTTTGTCTTCAAGAACTTTGATGTTTTCTCACCATAGATTGCCCGGATCACAAGATTTTATAGATGAATTTCTAGATGAATTCTACCTTGGATCTATTGAAAGAATATAGGAATGTTTTTTGCAATGTAGGCACAATGGGGCAATTTCCTCCTTTCGTTCACAACCTTTGTATTTATATCTAGGGATAGATGAGAGTCCTAGACCTGGTGAAAGTCTTGAACAATGTGACTTAGAATCGGTAGCATAACATTGCCGCTCAAGTGAAAAGTGAGAGATGTGTTTTTGCTCGAGCGACGAGGAGGTGAAGGGCAAGCAAAGAGCTCTTTGCTTTTTATGCTCGAGCGATAGTCAGGTAAGCAGCCAACGAAGTTTCGACGTATCCTTACCCTGGTCTCAAGTGTAAACCCTAGCCTAACCAACTTTATAAAATTGCAACGCAAGTCCCTAACCTTTATATCAATGTTCAATTGAGTCCCTGACTTCTACAAACATTCAATTACATCCATTTTGTTCACAAAATCGCCAATGAAACTCTTAGACTTCATAAACTCCTCCTTTGGCATTCTGTGACAGAACTACACAATATAAGTTAGGTCTATACAAAAAATAAGCTTGGGCTTGACACACAAAACAATACTACCCGGTAATTCCAAAAACTGAGTCTTGCATTCCTTCTTGTACCTGTTTTCTGAAATTTTCAAACTCATATGCCCAGTGTAAAAACACGTGATATAGGAAATATAAAAGGTTAACACACTTAATCACAAACACATAACATGCTAGGTTGAGACGTGATATTGATGCTAGTCAAAACACCAACCGAAACATCAACACCACTAAAAATAAAAAAACAAACTCAAACAAATGGATGTGATATGGAATGTAATGCAATACTCTCACTTTTTTGCAAGTACTCATGAATGTAATGCTATATATCAATGCATCTATGTCTCTCCCCCAACGACCCCTAGACATAGCAATGCAAAATGTAAGTAACATCAATCGGTGAAATCATGTGCCATGCAAATGTAGTCGCTCTCTATTTATATGCTCATTCATTATTTTTCTCCCCCTTAGTTACACATTCCTCTACTCATTTTTGTTACAAATGCTGAACGGAATAATATTAAGAACGAACTGAGCAATAACATATAATACCTCACAAATGCAGTTGATAGCAAGGAAAAGTAAAATTAACAAGTAGTAGACCTCTCCACATACTCAGTTCAGATCAAAATGGAGTGAAAAGTACAAGTGACTCATTTGTGTAACGTGTCACTAATCCAATGCAAGCAGGATTCCAAACCTTTTGTGAGACATGCCAATTACTACCAATAAGTATATTCATCTACTTATGAAATTCAAATCATGTGACGTGCAGTAGAACCTATACTTATTTTTTTTCTCCCTCTTACTATGAGCATTTATATTTTTCATTTTCACATTTTTCAGCTCATCATATTTTCACATTTTATTCCGGGATCATTTATTTTTCATTTTAAGTTAAGGTTCTCCTCCATTAAACGATTGAGATGACCCCGTAGCGAGCTTTAGATTGATTAATCTAAGTCAGTTGGCAATAGATACTAGGTTTTAAGAGACCCCGTAGACTTAATTCCTCGAGTCAAATAGGCCTCGAAGAAGGACATTAAGATATGAGCTAATATAAAATGGGAGAAAATTTTTGCGTTAATGTCTACAAAAAAATGGTCAATTCATGTTTGAAGTCACCCCATCAACACGTGACAGCCATCCCAAATCTCACACTCGCGGGAGAGTCCCACTAAAAAGTTCATAGTGTGTAAAGTACAGGCGGTATATGAAGATACTTATACAAATTAATCAAAATAGACCTAACCAAGAAATGAAAATTACTCTACATCTTATCAATTTTAGCTCATACATGATTACAACTAGCAAGTTCAGAATTATATGTCATGCTATAGCAATTTTCATAACCGACCGTTTTTATCTTTTTCAATTTTTTTTTTGTATTTTTCATTTTTCCTAAAATGAATGCTCCACACACAAAAGAAAATAAAGACAAGCACACAAAGATTAAACTAAATATGCATGTGTCAAAGCAAAAAAATGAAAATGCACATGCATAAAATAAAAAGATTAGACAAAAACAAGCAAAAATCATGTGATGCATGCAACACTCGTATGTCAATTAAGAGCAAGCATGCATCACATATACCTAATTATCTAGATATATAAGTGTTATTTCCTTTAAGAGCACCATGATCCACTTCCAGATTCTGTAGATCACTCCTTTTCACCCAAACCTATCTCGCGAGAGAGCAGTTCCCCGACAGTTGTGTCACCAACTTGGTCAAACAATTCACTAGCTCAGTAAGGAATCCAATTTGACCAATAGACACCTAATTTTTGTTCTCATTTAAGTTCATGTTCCTATTTTTGTTGAAGTACTGATGACATCTAGGGCGTATGTGACCTAATTCTCCACAGTGAAAGTAAGTAGGGATGAACCTAGCACTATGGTTATGGTGACGCTGATTTCTATTCCTATGTTGATGGATCCTACGATGTTTGGTAGACCTCTGTCCTAAAGATTCCACAACATTAGATATGGGGCTAGCCACAGTGTTAGACTGGTCAGTAGCACGAACAAAAGTGGTTTGTGAAGTACTAGCAGCATTATTATTAAAATCTAGACCTCCCTTTTCACCCATCGGCTTGCCTATTCCTAAAATATTATCTAGCTTTTCAAAATTGCTAGAAAAGACAAGTATCTGAGAACTAGACAACTCCAGCTCACTCTCAAGGTGCTTGACCTAAATAGCTAAGGTCTTATTTCCATCGGTTAGCTCACTTACTCTCCTAGAGGACATATCATTCTTACTCGTGAGATCACTAACCTGGGCCTCTAAATATTCTTTCTCTAACCTAAGTTCCTTCACTTTCTTGTTCAGCACTTGGTTAGTAGCTATGATCTTGAGACTTTCTTTATAAATTTTATCATAAGCTTCTTCAAGATCTTCCTCACTTCCATTCTTATCACCAGATTCTTCACTACCATCTATATCATCATCTTGTTGGGATCCACTCTTAACCAAGCAATGAAGGCCATATATTTTCCACTCTCCTCATATGTGGATTTCTTACTCTGACTGTTCGAGCTACACTCATCATTAGTGAGAGTAGCATTCATAGCCTTGTTCTTGACTATCTTAGCATTAGGGTACTCACTCTTAAAATGGCCAAAACCTCCACGCTTATGGCATCTCACAGATTTAGACTTTCTCCTAGAGTCACTGAGGCTACTTCTCAGTTTTTCTTGCAGCTTCTTCTTCCTAAACTTTTTTTGAAATTTCTTAGTTAGTAGGTGATCTCCTCATTGTTGGGTGAATGTAAATCAGAAGATTCCATCCAGTTATTCCGAGCGAATTTCAAGGCTATAGATTTTTCCTTAGCTAGATTGTTTAAGGTAAGCTCATGGGTCTGGAGGGATCCAACTAGCTCTTCTACATTGATAGTGTCTATGTCCTTACTTTCCTCAATTGCAGAGTCTTTAGGCCTAAAACGTTCGGGTAAGGATCTAAGAATCTTCCTCACTCTCTTAGACTCGGGGATTTTCTACCCTTGATAGAAGGACGAATTCACTTTGTCATTTAGGCTCGCATACATCAAACATCTCATCATCTCTCATTCTTATCTCTTCAAGCCTAGTGGCTAGCATCTGCAGTGTAGAATTCTTAACTGCCTGAGTTCCTTCATGTGTGGTTTCTAAAATATTTCAAACTTCCTTTGCTACCTCACACATGGACACTTTCCTAAATTCTTCAGGGGAAATAGCCATAAATAGGGCATGCAAGGCTTTACTATTCCAATTACATTTATCTAATTCAACTCTAGACCAATTTTCTATGGAGGTAGGAGTGACAACACCATCGACTGTGGTAGTAGGGGCAGACCAACCATTCACAACACTTAACCATATCCTCTCATACATACACTAAAAAAAAATAACCGATTTCGCGACAAAAAAATATTGTCGCAAAAATTGAGATTTTGTTGCAAAAGAAATTTAGCAACAACTAGACGCTTGTTGCAGGCATTATCGCGCTATATGAGTCACAAAATATATTTTGCGACAACTTTCACTGGTTCATCACATTAATAAACTCACAACATTATTTATTTGATGCGGAAAGTACAAAATAGCAACACAATATTTGTCACCATAGTGTCGTCGCAACTCATATTTGTCGCTAAAAATTAAAAGGGCGATAAGTCAGTCTGTTGCAACAATTATTACTATAAAGTTTTTCCAAGAAAAATATCTATTGCGAATATTATTTTAAAGGTATAAATTTTGTTACCGATTCTATTTTGCAGCAACACATGCTCATAGCGATATATATTTAATAACAAGTCAAATTTGTAGCGAAATATGATTTACAATGCATTTGATATGTTGCATAATATATTTTAAGATATTCAAAATTTATAATACAGTTTATCATAAAACAAGTGATGTTTGTAATTAAATTTATTTCACAACACAGAGAGTTTGTCGCATCATCATATGTGAGAAATTATGATTTCTGCCATATGCTTCCCCCTCTCGAGTTTGGCCAGCTTCAGATGACTTTAGCAGCACATAGATTTTCTAACATATCATCATCTCATCATCATTTTCTGCTTCATCCAATTTAGATGTATTTCTTTCAACACCCTCCGTATCATTCTCAAGTTCCACCCCATGAAAAATCCATCTCTCATAACTTCCAGAGACTTTGGGATGATATAAATGAGATTCTACCATAAATGCATTTTGACAATCTCGACGTGGACACTGAACCTCGTTGTTCTCATCCAGACATTGTTTTGCTACCTCCTGAATTAACACCATCTAAATATTGATTACTTAATCTGTTACAAAGTTGCATCCAACTCCTATCCAGCATGTATATCTCTGTATTTACATAGACCATACAAAAGAGAATATGTAGTCAGTAATTTTTAGTGAAAACAACAAACAATGTTAACCAAAACAAAAGAATAAGCTACTGGAATGGATATTCTAAAAATTAGATTCTTTTGAACACTTCCAATTTAGTGCAATAATTAACTCATGAAACAAATTCTAATAGTCAACCTAAATACAACAGAGAATTTAACAAATGATGATCTCGTGACGAAGCTGAAAGCAACAAGGGTGGAAACAGTTGGTTCTCATGAAACTAGCCCCCAACAAAATACATCTGCATTATTTACTATAAAAGGTCAGTTCTAGAATACATATTTTCCCATATACAAATTTAGTATACATATTTTTTCCGTAGAATAAGTACTTCCCTTGTACAAGTAACAATTAATAACTCAAATAGGAAAACTGCTTGCAATTTGTAGGACTAATAAACTCATGGACAACAGAATTCAATCTTATTCTAGGAAGATTATATAAAGTTAATGAAAAAAAAAATAAACTTGCAAAGTTCAAATGGGCTTCCATTTGAGATGACCACCTTCTGCAAACTATATATTCTATGAGTGCAAGAAATTGGTGGAAAATCATATCACAATTCAACATAAAGTGCAAGTCTAGAAGTGTCAGAATATGCTCAAAATGTATCAATTTGAAGAAGATTGACATTTTTGTGCATATTACCTTCACCGTTGTGTTCACGTCAAGTATAACAAGATCAGACTACGACGAGATGTAAATAAACTAGCTTTTCCAGGTCCAAATTTTCTTTTCCCTGTAGTTAACAACATCCATGAAGAGTGAGGACACGTCCTTTAAAAAAACCACCCATTACCCAGAAATAATTATGAAACACATCAATAATGGGAAGGCAGCTTACTAAACTTCGAACTGTAAAACAAGAAATGTGGTATCATTTGTTTTGACTAATCTAATAAGCCATTGTTAAACTCTGTCTCTGTGCAACATAGAAACTGGCGTATAAGTCACAAAAATAATTGGTTTAGCAGATCATATCTATAATCTAATCTAGCATAGAGTATTATAGAAATAAGATGATGAGAGAAGGGAACAAAAGTAACCGTTCAGGGACTTAAACCCAATATTAACACCCTTCTTGTATATTAAAATAAAAGAAATTCATAAGCACATTTGTGCATTGCTTAACGATCAAATCAACAAGAAAAATGTATGATTAAACAAACACATATCAAACCCAAATAAAGAAGAAACCAAAATTGTAAATCTAAGTTTCTCCTCAACAGATTAGAAGGGGGAAAAAATGCAAATCGACCTACTAAAATTTCTCAGATAAGCAGTAAGTAGAAAACGCTTTGGATGCGGTTGACGGCAATGGAGGCGTGAGAAGAGTGGTGGTGACCTATTGGACTGTGCCGCCAATTGATATGGATTTGGGGATTTTTACTTGGAAGAAACCCTTGCGAAATTTGGCTGGGAATAAAATAATGTTTAATCGTGGGTGTTTTTATTAGGTTGAAGGGTAAAATAGAAAATTAAAAAACAAAACAATTTTTTAATTTTTTAATACCAAAAAAAGATGGTCATTTTTACTGCTTATTTTTTTTTTTTTTAATTGGTTCAGCATAGTAGTTCTTTTTATAAGTTATTATATGATTGAAACTTTTATTGTCTAATGAACTTTTTTTTTTTTTTTTGGTTGAAGATAAAGTTATTCTTGACAGTTTACAAAATTTTTATTAAATAATTTTTCTCTTGGTCAAAAATAATTAAAATTTAAAAAAAAAATTGTAGTACATATTAAAATGTCATCTTTAACTAGATGAAAAATAAACATTTGTTACAAAAAAATAAAAGAACATTGCAAGAAGTTAAGGCAATAGGCAAAGAGCATTGCGAAATATAATAAAAGCTATGATGAGGTACATTGCAAAAACATAACAACAACGTGATTTGAGACCTTTTGAAACATGCATTGCATGTTGCCATATCTTTCTACTCTACGACAACATTAGAACCTGCAACATACGAGTGAGTGTTGTGAAAGACCTAATGATACATTTTTTGTCCGTTGTAAAAAATAGTTTTTCTTGTAACGATTTTTTCCTCTATCTATAGAAATTTTAGCAACACATATTCCTTGTCGCAAAAAGTGGACTCTATTGCATCACACACACTTTGTTGCAAAAATAAAAGTTTGTCGCCATAAATTTCCCACCAAAAATATTTTTGGCATTTTGCTTCTCTCCAGTTTTTGGTGACAATCTTTATTATTTGTCGCACCTTCTCACATTTCACGACAACTTTTAATGTCGCCTTATATTTTTTGTTACTTATTTTTTTCATATCAATCTTTGCGACAAACTTAAAAAATGTGTTGCGCTAAATCACTTATTACGACAACTTTCCGTATATCACAAAATATCTTGTCGCAAAATCACATTTTTGTTGTAGTGATAGCTTCAAAAATGCCCTCATTCTCACTTTTTAATACGCAAAATTATTCCCATCAAAATGGGGCGGCATACTCAATGACATACTCATCTAGACAATGTAAGGTCACGACTCGTGTTTAGGCTCTGATACCACTTGAAAGTTCTAGGAACGCTTTGGATACTACTTGTAAAATGAACTAATCCTAAATTCAAATTTTATGCTTTACCCAGTTTACGTTCCAAGTTACCAATTCGACCTTACGTGCAGAATTAATACAATTAATAGCAAAAAGTCACTAATTAATCTAGTTCGTTAAACATACAAGTCATGTTAATCCTATATTGAACTATCGTTTTGCAATATGTAAAAGAATAAATCAACACAACTCACAGTTTGTTGCCAGAGAAACCCAATGTGGAAAAAAAAAACTCCAGGACCAAGTCAGTGATGTCTACTATACCAATTTAGCAAGTACAAGTTACATCAAACTTCGTACCCAATCAAACCTACTGCTCCAGTCTCACGATTGTATCACAAAGTGGAATTTCAAGAATCGCCTGTTCTTGTCCGATTCACTGTGCTTGACGTCCACCTCTCTCAATCCCCAATGAGATAGTCTCTTCCTCAACGGATGAAGGAAGACACGTTGTTTTGTCTTCAAGAACTTTGATGTTTTCCCATCGTAGATTGCCCAAATCACAAGATGTTATAGATGAATTCCTTGATCAATTCTATCTTGGACCTCTTGAAAGAATGTAGGAAGATGTTTTGCAATGTAGGCACAATGTGGCAATCTCCTCCTTTTGTTCACGACCTTTGATTTATATCTGGGGACAGATGAGAGTCCTGGGCCATGTAAAAGTCTCGAAAAATTAGACTTAGAATTACTGGCAAAACATTATCACTCGAGCGATGAGGGGACGAAGAGCGAGTGACGAGCTCTCTGCTTTTTATGCTCGAGCATTGGTCAAGCGAGCAGCCAGCGACGCTTTGCTGTATCTTTACCCTAGCCTCAAGTGTAAACCCTAGCCTACCCAACTTTACAAAATTGCAATGCAAGGCCCTGACTTTTACATCAATGTTCAATTGAGTCCCTAACTTTTACAAACATTCAATTACATCCCTTTTATTCCCAAAATCACTAATTACACTCTTAGACCTAACAGAGTTGATACTTAGTTAACATTTGAAGTCAAAATTTTCAATTTTGAAAAAAAATGGTAGAAACAAAAATTATTTCCATTATGATTGACTGTGCTCTAATTTAAGCCACCAAGAATTATCTGTTTCATTGTTAATTGTGCTCATAATTTTGCAGGAAGTTGTGGCTTTGATGAAGAAGGTTTGAATTCTTATAGATTTCAATCTCATGGTCCAGAATCTTACCAAGTATTGGATTCTACTTCAATAAAAATATAAAAATAGATATTTTATTTCAATATTGAAACGTGGAAGATTTAGAGTTTGTGCATTATTTTATTTGAAAGGAAAAGTTTTCCAAGTAATCTAATTTTTTTAAGGCCAAAGAGCTTTTTTCTTGAAAGTTTATATGACTATACTGCCTTTTATCAAAATCCTCACTTGGCAAAGCAGACGAGATTGTTGACAATGTAGAGTTTATTGTTCTCATTGAAAAGTAGGGCTCAGTTGTCTAAATGGACTAGAAAGTCTCGACAATCTTGCATAGTAACTCATGGAAAAGGATGAGATAAATTTAGAAAAACTTTTGACGAGAAAAATGATATCTTTAGATCAAAGGACAAAAAGTTTTGAAATTTCGAATGACGTTGCCAAGCAATTTCCTCAATTTAAATGTTATATATATAGCCAAAAGTGCATCTATGAGATCGGGATAGCATTTGATTCCTTCTTTACTTATCCTATATATATATATATATATATATATATATAAAACAGTAATTTCAGGCCCACCTTTCATGGTGCCTTTGTATACGAGGCTATCTGGAGAGGATCCAATGATGTTACTGAAATCTTCGCAGGCTACCTCAAGTTCTTGTCTGCTGTATCTCACAACATCCTTTAGTACTTCAAAATCTATGCAAATTGTTGTATAGTCCACCCAACCAAACCTTTGTGAAGGTTCACAAGACATGGTTCTTCTTAAGTGCACTTGCACTCCTCTTTAACTTTCTCTCTCGAAATCTGCTTTGTTACGCCTTTTTGGTTTCTTATCCGTGATAAAATCTGATCTTAGTTTATTGAGGATAAGCTGTTAAGATCTTGGCTTAACCTTTTGTTCACTGAAAACAAAGTCATTAGTTGTGAAAAACTGAAGAATTGCACGCGGAGGTATAGTCTTTCCACTGACGTGTTCCAGAAAGTACCATGTGATTCTGAAAAATCTATTCTTGGATATTTAGCTGCTGGAATCTAAATTGAACCATATGGTGTTTCTATCATCTGTCATGCTTCATTCCAATATCTGCAACATGGGCATTTTGAACATCCATGCCCCTCTTGAGGGGGGCTCTTACAATATAGAACCAGAAACAATACATATTAGTAGATCCCTTCCAGTTCAGCTCACCAGATTCCAATCTTGATTCCAGCTGTTATGTAGTTATGTTAGTTAGTTGGTTAGTTAGTTTAGTTACTTAGAATAAATATAGTTAGTTAGTTAAATCTGTTGAAGTCCAGCTATAATGCTATTGTACCGTGTCTATAAATAGAGCACTTGTATACCTTATAAGTCATTGGTTATTTTCCAATCTTCAATATGATTTCACGTTGAATTTATCTCTTCTTCTTTTTGCGCTCTCTAATTCTATGCTAGAGAGTATCTTTTCTTCTTATTGCTGTCTAGTTCTATGATAGGGAGATGATTTCAATATTTTCTTTTTTGTTTACTGCTCTCTAGTTCTATGCTAGGGAGAATTTAACATGATATGTGAAAATTTTTATCATGTGCACGTTACACGTATATCTTGATATTAACTTGTTTCACGTTGCGTTTTGTGAGTTTGCTAAGATGTGCTTTGAGGAATTTGGTAATCGAGTAAAACATTGGATCACACTAAATTGAGCGATGGGCCTTTACTTATTATGGATATGTGATAGGCAATTTCTCCCCTTGTGCAACTTTAGCAAATGAAACTTCGATAAAACAATTGATGCATTCTTCGATCTTTCATCACATATGTCCAATGACTAATCCTCACTTTACTTCTTCAGAAGGTGATCCGATCAGAGAACTTGATTCCTCTAAAAGAGATCGAATCGGAGAAATAATTGCTATGGCACAAAAATTGCCTCACCATACTTTCTCAAATGGAAATCTGGGCACTGATCCATATATTGCGGCACACAATTTGATCCTTGCTCGCGCACATGCGGTTTATATGTATAGGAAATATTATCAAGTTTTCATTTCAAACACACATATAAATAAACACTTTTGAGATTTAACTATTGATTATAAATATTATTACATTTGTACATACAGGAACACCAAGGAGGCAAAAAAGGGGTGATAAATGTTTCAACGTGGTTTTACCCACTTAGGGACAACACCCAGGAGGATGAATAGGCTGCTTTGAGGGCAGTGATGAGAATTGTTGTTCAAAATCAATAAGTGAGGTGTATGGAATGAAAGTGGAAACGAGCAGCCACAAACAGGCCAAACCCATGATCTATGGGACCGTATAGACCCTATAAGGGTATGATCGCAAGGAGATAGGCCCTGCTTTGAACAACCTATGCGGTCGCATAGGCTAATACTAGGGTAATCATGTAACCGTTAGTAGCCATTTTGTTCAAATTTCACGTGGTTTTTGAGAGTTTTTTGGCACCACTTCGTATGGCATGTTTGAAGGCTATAAATATGTGGTTGATAAACTAGAAAAAATATTGAAAAATCTATAGCCACAATTAAGATCAAACTATTCATTCCAATTATATTCAGATTCATATTCAAGCCTTTCCTTTTATGTTCTTGAGTTTTGGAGAATTACACCAGTGCTTAAGAATTAAATTCTTTATAAGGCTTGATTAATACTTCAAACCATTTTC